GGAGCGGGTATGCGTCACACGTTGGATGTGGGGGATTTTGGTATCTGTGCTTTCCACATCTAACCAGCGACGCATAACACTCCAAAGTACTATTAGGTATAATACTGTAATAGAATTGACAAAAAACTACCCTCTTTTCTGAATTTGTCTCTTCATGTCAGTATATTGGGATTGGGTATTTTTTTAAAATTAATATACAAATTTAATCATGGTGTTAATATTGTTATTTTGGGTTTGATTTTCAGATATTCCCAGGAAAGATAGTGCTAATAGTTCACAAGATTCTGGATATAATGACAAAAATAGATAAATCTGACGTATTAAGGTTTGTACTTTTAGAATATCGGTGGGTTGCTCGGTTAAAGAAACTTCCAACGGGTTAAAGATTAAAACATCGTAAACATAGGTTCATGCTGTAACGTTTTGTTAAAAGTACTGATTAATTCGCAAACAAGTCAACACGGTCTATGGTGTCATAAAACAATCGATGGCTCAATGAGAATTGAAATATTTGATATATAAAATAAGATGAGGGTAGAATTATCTCCATGGCTTTTCAAAATATATTATTGGTATTACCCGTAAATATCACTGTGTGAAGTGAATCACTAAACAGCACAGCAAAGATAATCCAAATTGTCAAATTCATAAATGACAAAGCCCATCACAATATAATAAATCTATTCAATTAGATTGCGCGTAGGGATCTTTAGCCGTGGGAGGAAACAGGAGGATCCAGAGAAAACTCACCAGGTTGGACAGGCGACCCTACTTCTTGTCACGTACAACCGGGGAATCGAAACCATGCCAGTTGGCTCAATGACATACCTTATGATACAGCGCGCACGTTCTAACCATTCGGCCATCCACCCCTCTATTAAATTAAAATACATACATAGTACTATACAATTATTAGCAAACACTGTGTTATTCTAGTGTATACTATTTTTAATTATTGAATAATAACTTCTATTAATTGATAGGTGACGTCATCAAACCTATTCATGTTATAGAAGGAAGTCATGTCCAAATCTGTGGATAAATCAGTATTACAAAGAAATGTGGGATAACTGTTTAATAAAGCTCGGTGACTGTTAGTGCATAAAGAATAGATGATTCTTGCTTCGTACCTGATTCCATTGTTAATAGATGTAGGGAAGATAAATTTCATTTTTTATTTTTGTCTTCGACTATATATCATATTTAAAGATTGTACTTCTTTCCAGGGTAATATTAAGTCTCCACACTTTACGAATCCCAGAACACAGGGAGAAAGAGGGAAATGGGGTTTAATGTCAACTCGACACAAACTAAGTCATTTCGGGACTAACATACGGTTCAATTTTATTTCAATAATTCGCTTGCCCGTAGGGGTCTTTAGCAGTGGGAGGAAACCGGAAGACCCGGCGAAAACCCACGAGGTTGGACAGACAAGCACGTCATCTGACTCAATGACAGACCTTATGATACAACGCGCGCGCACTAACAATTCGGCCACCCAACACCCTCCCCCCATCCCGGAAGACAATTTGGCATTTGCCCAAACTGTAATTTTCCGATATTAGTGAAGTAAACTTTAATGACTCCCTATGCTTCTTGTAAATCATTGCTAAGTTTTTGGAAATCACCCTTTATGTTCATATTCCAATAAACAATATTGAAACCATTTTCCCTAATACATTTTTCAATGTCCGTATTTTGTTGCATTCAACAGCTATGGTGATATTTTCCCAAGATCAATCACTAATTTACAGCATATCCATAACGGGTTTTATTCTGGAAAATCCCAACTAAATTATATTATTACTGTACAAGTGTTATTTATTTTAAGGTTGGCCCTACTCCATTTGATATGGTTTAATATTTGTAGCGGTTGTCGGTTATCTCAGATATTACTTTGATATTGGGGTATTAATTGGCGATATATGTATTCCCTTTTAGCAAGTCCATTTCCTATAAATTGTCATGATTTTGACTGTTGACTAATGGAGTTTTGTATCTGATGAGATCTTTCAAGTACCGTATTTTATGTTAGAATATACTCGTGTATAATTAAATCGTGTATAAAACCGTCATAACAATGATGGATACTGATTATTATTTGTGTCAGTGGACAGCTTGATATGAAATAAGATCTTATTAAATTTATAATGAAATTAGTTACTGTATCTAGCGTGCATTTGTTATGTATTTCTTAAAATTTGTTGAATTTAAAAGCAGTGCCATAATTTTTACACAAAAATAAAAAAAATAAATTCACCTTTTATTGTATTTTGTTATTAATAAAATCCAAATATAAAACGATGACATTCGTTTGCTGATGAATTCAGATTTATAAATTTTTTTTTGCTTTTTCTTCGTATTGTGTCAGATTACATCACCCAGTATAAGTGACTGCATCAGACGAACGGGGTATGAAGTACGCTTCCAAGACCATAGGTTATTTTTACTCTCCCATTCATCATCCGTTTGCAAGCCGGATGTTTTCACAAATCAGGAATTCAAATAAACAGGAAAAAGAAGGGCTCAATTTGTTACACCACACAAGAAAAAGTATTCTAAAAATCCTGAATAATTTCCTCAGTGGACACTGGAATCAAACCTGGACCTTCTGGTTATTCAAATAGTGCATTACTCACTGACCCAAAGTGACCCCAAATTCAGGTATTATACAAATATGAACATCATGGATAATCTAATAACACAGTTCTGATCAAAGAGGAATCGGGTGATGTAAAATGTCACTAAAGTGCTCATCCTCGAAACCTTCAAGGAGTGTTATCTTACATGTCCAAGGCTGAAGCGTTATATTATTTTTAGAACGACACCAAGACTCCACAACAACAATGAGATCTGTCTCTTCATAACTTATGCCTTAAATTTTGTAATAGTCCACGAATGACCGATTCATAATAAGAAGGATCAAAGAAATCACCTACAGCACCAGTTCTGAATGCTGTTCATTTCGAAATGTCAACAAGATGGCCGCTATAACGTCATACGCAGTTCCTGGTCTATATAGTACGCAGGTTCTTGTTTATATTACTTTTTAGGTGATTTATTTGTTTAACATGTTTCACAGAAATTAAACAAATTTAATTAAACATACATTATGCAAGAGCTAAATCTGCCTATTGCAGGTCTTTCTTTGGCCTGAAATGTTATCTAAATTATTAATTAACATTAATTAACTTAGCCAGACCATAATCAACTCTCGATGGCAACATGATAGCCTGCGATGTTTATTGGATTAGGTTCCGATTTCCTGTTCGACTTCCATTCATAATTTAATCATGAAATGGATAATCGAGACTATGTTTTTTTTATCGTACGGACTTTAGTAATGATGATCGAGGCTAGGCCGAAAATTCAATCGCGAAAATCTCAGATCAATTTGACTGACATTTTCAGCAATTTGCCTTTACATTATCTTTTTTCTAACTATTATAGTGAGAACTGTCAGCTCTTTATCTAATCTCCCATAATGTATCTTTAATTAATATCTTTATTTTGCTTTTTCTCTTCCTTGTTTGATCTAGAGATAGTAACCTTTACATTATCTTTTTTCTAACTATTATAGTGAGAACTGTCAGCTCTTTATCTAATCTCCCATAATGTATCTTTAATTAATATCTTTATTTTGCTTTTTCTCTTCCTTGTTTGATCTAGAGATAGTAACCTTTATCAATTTATACGTCCATATTTGTTAAAGGGCGTATAAATCTAACAAATTATTAGGCCTATCCATAATTCGAAAATTAGAATTCAATATTAACGCGAGGGCATACATTTAGAAACGTCGGCAAAAGAAATTAGATGTTTTTCATAAGTCTGAGTTATGGTTTAACATTGCTCTCATCAGCTACTAAATGCCTCTAAACGATTAATATCGACGTTGTTGTCTTACCATAAAAAAATATATTTTCATGACTTTCAATATTTAAGATATAAAACATACTCACAAGGCCATGCAGAAGTTATTACAAATGGCTGATTACTGTTGGATATATGCCAATAATTATGTGCAGATATTTAATGCAATCAGACCAATAACTGAGTTCTAATGGTTCTTTTACGTGTACGCCAAGGTATACAGCACCCAAATGTGTACACGTGATCTCGGTTTTTCGTTCCATCTGACGTTTTCCCTTGTCAGGCCCCCTGTCCTACAGCAATCACAAGTAGAAAATTTCAGTGACCAACACTGGGATCGAACCCTGAGACCATCTTGTTAATGCCCCCGACAGACCAACCAGGGTGTCGTCCTTACTGCACTACTACGACCGTACGGTGACCAGAAAATGCAAAAGATCGCCGGCAAACGTGAACACAACGCGAGAAAATGTCCAAAAAAATTACAAACTTGAAAAAAGTCACATTCTCACAGCTTTCCAGGTCAGATCGCAGAACCTTGGCGTTTGTTCAAAACAAACGCGGTGACTCGGCAATCTTTGGCGACCATGGAGACCACAGCACGATATCTGGCGTTCCACCACGCCTTTAGCACGTTTATGGCGATCTTGACCCGCTCCGGGACCATTTTCCATCGCTGTAGCATCGCAGTAAGGACGCCATCCCGGTCTGATGGGGGTATAACGAGCGAGTGCTCTAACTCACTGCGCCAACGTGGTTTCTGGCATCAATTGGAACATACGATATGATGTTAACCAATGGCAATATTTTTGGATATTATATTTGCAGATAAACAATCAATGTCTAAATAATATTCTTTATTTAATGAAACCCGAGTTTTGTCTCATCCGTTTAAAATATTCCATAAATCATGAATACTTTATAAAAGTTTTTTGAATACATAATACATGTAACAATTAAATGCCCGCAGGCAAGTTGATAAATTGCTCATTTCAGCTTACAGAGACAACGCGTGATGTCCTCGGTCTTCTACATCGCTTTCAATCTGCCTAATGTTTTTGCATAGAAATTAATAAATAAACAATAAAACCGGAATAAACATCTTCCTGGTCTTAATACTTATAATACGTGGCGTTGTTAGAGTTGCCACACATGGCTAGATGGGTTTAGACCGATAAAATGGCAGGGTTAGGCATTGGATATTTGGGTCTAATATATTTGTTATTTCATTTCTGCTACCTCACAGGTAAGAAATATACTTATTTAATTGATAATATATGACCACTAATAGCAGGTCCATTGTTTCAAAATATTGAACATGAACATTGGTTATAGGGGGACCTTTGAATGAAATCTCATCAACATTAAAATCAGTCAAAAATATGCATAAGATTAAATTCAAATACAGTTTAATGCTCAATTGCCTGGATACATACTTTCGATATATATATATTTAGAAACTATATGCTTCTATAGCTCTGTCGTGTACTTTTCGTGCTTCGCATTAGATTAGTTTAGCCTACTTTTAAACCAAAAACAGATCAGACGAAACGAGAAATCAAATTTATGATAATGAATTGAAATAAAACATATTCATCCTCTCTGCTTTCATCCTGGTTAAATCCGGGTGTCAACAAAAAATAATTCTCGGTGTGCGCAGACTTCAATGAAAGTATTTTTGTTTTTTTTATTATAGGTAGATATGGTTGTTATTGTCAAGAGGAATGTAATATTGGATGCACGGATACCGGATGTAATAATACGACAGGTGTCTGTACAGAATGTAAACCGGGTTTTTCTGGAAACACTTGTGACACTTGCAAACAGGGTTTATTTGGTACTGACTGTACAATGGATTGCCATATAATTAATTGCATAGGCGACTGTGACAAAATCAACGGGAGTTGTGCTAAATGTAAAGTTGGTTTCCATGGTAATAATTGTCAACAAACGTGTAGCAGTGGGTGCAATGAAGGAGTTTGTAGTAAAACTACTGGTGATTGTACGGATGGATGTAACGATGGAAAATTTGGTTCAGACTGTATCAAAAGATGTGATATTACTAATTGTGTAGATAACTGTAACATAAATACAGGTTACTGTATGGAATGCAAACCTGATTGGTTTGGTAAAAACTGTGAATCAAAATGCTCCGGAAGCTGTGAAGGTAACTGTGGTAAAATTACGGGCCACTGTACGGAATGCAAACCTGGTTGGTTTGGTGACACCTGTGAATCTAGATGCTCTGTAAACTGTAAAAGTGAGTGCAGTCAAGCGAATGGTAGATGCAACGAATGCAAATCTGGATTGTTTGGTGATGGTTGCACCGAACAATGCCCTGTCAACTGTACAGATACCTGTCAAAGGTCTGATGGCAAATGTTATGAGTGTAAACCTGATACAGTTGGGTCTCACTGTAACGGTACGTGTGGATCTGGATGTGTACCTATGATCGGAACGTCTGGGGGAACCTGTAATAGAGATGGCGTATGTACTACATGTATTGAAGGAAAATATGGTACTTTATGCGATATTAATTGCAGTGTCAACTGTGTTGCTGGATGTGCGAGATCTGGTGGTAGATGCGGCGATTGTATTAAAGGTAATAATGATACGTTCAACCTTATCTTTGTAACATTACAATTATTTTGGCCATATTGATTATTTCATTGGGAAATGCGTTTATAATACCGACCAAAATCTATTCTTTAAAATGTGGTATCTTACGGGCTATGGATGAGAACCCCAATTCAGTTTCAAATCTAAAAAAATTCCACCAGTTTCTCTTTATTTCGAGCCGCTATCATTTAACTTGTATTGTTCTGTTACTAGACATTCATTATTAATTAGAAGCACAACACTCAATATAATCCTCTGTTGACAGCTTTATATGTATACAGTGGACTATTCTATACTGGGCGTAGAATTTTATAGTTACATGGAGGAGGATGATCGTTGCCGGGTCTGAAAATGAGGTTTTGAAAGATAATGCTAGTTTTACGAAGTATAAATTTGACCGATGGTCCCGAGGCATATATGGCCGACCTGTACCCTAAGTTGTAGTGAATGAAACTAACATCCCTTCATTATTTTCACTAGCATCGCGGCGAAGAGAATATCCAACCTCTACTACGGTCACTCTTTATTTTTTTAGCTATTGTCTACTTTCACCCTTGCCTTTGTAATATTCCAATTATTTTTAACATATTGTATTTTAAACTAGACGCTTTTCCATAGCATATTCTGATTAATAAATCAAGGACGTGTGCTGACAAAATATTGCACAGCGCATTAGTTTTCCAGAAGTTCTTTTACATATTACCGTAGATCACGGAGAAATCCAAAACCTCTCGTGTGTTAAACTTATTTGAAATCACATCAAATGGTTTATTTTTGTCAAAATAATACTGTTTCCAATTATGTCAATGCTGGATTTCACGTATTGAAATTGAATTCTCTCAAGCCAACGTAATAAGAAAATAGTTGTAGTATGCAAGGCAACTACAAAATATTCGCCGTATTTGATCACATCAAGGTATACATCAGTTATCGGGTGTTCATAAAATTTTTAGTTAACGGGATTGAAGTCAGGGCCGTATCTAGCGGGGGTGCAGGGGGTACATTGCACCCCCAGAAAAAATAAGGCGCCCCGAGAAATTGCGCCCCCATCCCATCCAAAAAAAACTCAAAAATTATTTGACAATCTTTCAGTTATAAAATAATACACTTGATTATGATCACACAGTGATGTTCTAAAGCCACTGATCAGTCGATCGGTTTTAAGGGCGCCCACACGCCAATGGGTTCGTTTGCCCTGATCCAAACTTTCTTATATCACATACGTGGAGGCTATGGCGCCCACCACTCTGCTGCACCCCCACTTTTAAAATCCTACATACGGCCCTGGATTGAAAATAGTGGGTCAGGTCTGAAATCCATGAAACTCGACTCGATTGTAATTCTGTGAAACCTGTGTTCAGTAGAATCGTGTCGACCAGTTTAATATATCCCACAGTTTAGGTAAAATATATCTCCAGTCGTTCTCTAATTATGACTTATATTCTGAAGATTTTTTTTCCCTCTTTTGTCAACATTCAGAGCATTGGAGGTACCCACCTTTCTATTTTTGTTACAGGTAAAAGTGGAGATATGTGTAATAAGTACTGCAATGATAACTGTACTATATGTCAACAAACTGACACCAATGATTGTTCTGGATGTATTGATACAAGATGGGGAACATCATGTAATAAACCATGTAGTTCTAACTGTAATGGTAGTTTATGTCATCACGTGACCGGGCTTTGTTTGTATGGTTGTATAGCGGGAAAGACTAGAAACAGTTGTATAGAAGGTAGGTTATACGTTTAATAATCCAGGTGTAGGGAGTGGTAATTATTTGTCGTGATGATGTTTTTGATCTACATGGTTTATTGGTTAAATTGTGTGCATATTATGGATTCTGGTAGTTGTCTAGCTGGTGGTCTAATTTGTTGTATTTTATTGTAGATTTTAGAGATACTGTAAATTGTTATAATTTTTTTTAAATTGATTGTCCGTTCTGGTGGCCGGCATAGGTCTTGTTATACATGTAAATTGTTCTTGTTTATCATGTTATCACTATAGATTGTTCTGATAGGCTAGATGTTTGTTTATATTATAATATTACTACAATATTCGGTGTAGAGTGCTTGATTATATTATTATTGCAAATTGTTTACATAATTATCCTTGTTGTTAAAAGGATGTAAATTGTTTACTATATATCACCATATATTCGTCTGATGGGTGGATGATGTAAATTGTTTACAGATTCTCCTACATGATGTAAATGTATTATCTGATTACAATAGATTATCCTTGCACATATTAATTATATCATTATTGCAAATTGTTTACATTATTATTTATTTTGATTTCTCGCCGATATGGTTAATACTATTATTACAGATTTTATATGATGTAAATTATAACACATACTTATGGAAGAACAATTACTGATTTATTTAAGCGACATTTTGAAGAGTATTCTCTCAACGTTTTCAAGCAAGTATGTGTTCTTCCACAAGTATGTGTTATAGTTTATTGCTCTGTCCAGTTACTAAATGCCTCTAAAAGATCATGATGTAAATTGTTTACTGTGTTAACGCAATAGGTTGTTCTGATATGATGTAAATGAACTACATTGCTACCATATATTGTCCGGCTTCTACTGATGTAAATTGTTCATTATATCATATTGTCCTTATTTGTGAATTGTGAATTATGTTATTATTGTTAATTGTTTATATTGTTATTTATATAGATTACTGTATTACTACTTTATTATTGTACATTTTCCCTTCGGTTTTTATCCAATGTAAATTGTTTACTGCATTATTAATATTAGTAGGATTACTATTATTACCCTAGTTATATTATTACTTTTGATATCCTACTTCTTCATAGCATAAATTGTTTATTATATTAATTATTTTACAGATTGCCCTGCTGTTTTGCTGGCCTTTATAGGGTACATAATTATAACGATTATTGCCATTCTTCTGGTGTTTTATATACTGTAAATTGTTTATATTAATATTATTCTGCTGATATGTATAGTGTACATTGTTTATATTATTATTTTAGATTGTCCTGCAGGTCTGTATGGTATGGGTTGTGAGAATAAATGCGGTAACTGTGCTAACAATACACCATGTCATGTTGTTAATGGAGAATGTGGAACAATTGGATGTTTGCCAGATTTTACAGGAACATCATGTCAACAACTAGGTAAGATCAACATACCTAAACAGATGATTGAAGTAAAAGATTCGGTTTGGCCATCTCGACTTCCAACACAACCAGGGCATTTGGGGAATTGACATGTTAGTGCATGTAGCAGGGACAGGAAGCCACATAAAGCTCAGGCGTTTAGACAGATGATCCTGCATGGTTACACACAATCCTTGGAATGAGGCCTTGAATGGCACAAACATCCAGCTAATGTGTTCTCCCTGAACTTACTAATAATACAGAAACGATAATTGCGGTAATCTGTATTTCAGCGTTAAAAGATGACTTCATAAGCCTTGCTGCGAGTGGTGGTATTGGTGCTCTGGTTGGAATAATATTTACCAGCGTTTTCTGTATCGTGGGCTTTGTTTTCTATAGTAAAAGGTATTATTTACTTTACATAAAATTTACAAAATGTAGATTGAGTAACTTAGAATAATGAATGTAAAATCTAGTAAAGATTAAACCATTATAATAATATATATTAGTATTTTCTTTTACGCAAATATAGTGTACACTTTGTCTGCAGTGTTCACTTTTAATACAGCCCAAGGACAACTTCAAGTCAAGTGTTCACAGTAGAAACACTACCAAAGATACTTCCCTAGTTTAATTGATAATTCTAAAAGGCGGCCTATTTCGTCATCAGTTCATCGACATTTCTGAAAGGATGTGCTGACACTTCTAAAAGATAGTCCATTTACCACAGTGACTTTTAGTGCCAGGATTTCGGTATGACACAAATCTCATCCCATTTAAAATGTCACTATTTTGTTTATTTATTTGTTATCTTTTAGAAAACTGCAGTCTTCAAGTGCAGCAAAGACATCAACTACCGACGAAGAGTCTTATGCCAAGTTGAAGAAATTATCAGTGAATAAAGAAAGAATATACGAAACCTTACAAACATCGACGCCATCCACCAACGAACAACGTGTTACGTATGAAAACATTGATACAACTGCTTTTTCCAAGAATGATGTAAACGATACCTACGTAAATTTAGATACAAAAGCAGATTCTCAGGCCGAGTCAAATACATACGAAAATTTTGGACTTAAGTAAAAGCCTCGACATTAATATGATCAAAAAAGACAATTCTAATTTTAATTTTTCTATTTATCATTAAAGGATATGAATGCAGACCACCAAGTTTCTCTCCTTTTGCACGGCTATTTTTGTTCACCTTTTTTGATCTAAAAACTGTGTGGTGGATTTGAATTGATCTTGTGGTTTAGAGATTGTAGGTTAATAGGTAATTTAGTCCGAAGTAAATTTGGATACAAAGTTGGAGCCTGGAAAAGAGATCGGAGCCAATATGGAAATTATTGGCGGTCTGCATCCGTAAAAGTAGATTAATCGTCTGTTGTCTCCCTTGTATTAGAGCTTTCAATGTGCATGTCGGTTGCACTGGACTGATAATGTTTCGAGTATAGCCGTTGACTGAAAATTAGCTGCTTACAAAAGACCCTAAGATTCCCGAGAAAGATCGTTTAGAATTATATGATTTAGGTCATTAATCGTTATTGATAACGGTGTTTTAATTCAGTACAGATGTTTAAAAGATAAACGTCAGAAATAATTTGAAAGTTTTGAGATTAAACATGAATATGATTTTTTTGTTGAGATTAAAGATAAATATGAAATTTCGACCTTTAGGAAAAATTTTTGATGTCATAAATAAATAAATCTTAACCCATGTAATTATTGAAGATCCAAGTAAACATTGACTGGTCAGACTAACAGCGGCGCTACGATTTACCCAATACTACTCGGTTCACTCCCATTCGACTACGTCCGGTTCCGACTACACCGCATTTCGACTACAAATTTTATTACTCTCAAAATCCTGACCCCCAAGTAAATCAGCAATGAACTGTTCCACTGATTAAGAGATCTAATTAAGGTAATGATTATTGTTAAAATAGCTTATTCATGATATATATTAAAGCTTGTTTTTTTCAACATCAAAGCAAAATATCAACTCAAGAGTACATTTTTGTTTTGACAAATATTTGTAATATTTGGAGATTACATTGAGTTTAATACTTGCTTATCTATATAAGATGAATTTTTTTCAAATTTTGTACATTTATTCATCAAGTTCACTATCATTCAGTCAAAATTTACTCCGAAGAACTTGCTCAAATACCTGAAGAATTTGCGCCTAACTTAACTTCCTTTCCCCCCTCTCTAGTGGAATGCAAAGCCCTGTATAGGGAAAATTACAACAACTCATTTACAGGCGCCATTTTGGGTCCCAACTATGACGCCACAGAGTAAAAGTACACAGAGTGGCGACTGCTTCATTTGCATAAAAAGTAGGTCGCGCACTGCATCTTGGGGTTTGTCTGTAATGTCACTAAACATGGCGGCTAAAGAAGACTTTTCGCAGTTGAACAGAAGAAAATGTAAACATCCGAGTGGTGGATATGGTACCCCGAGTGGTGGATATGGTACCCAGAGTAGGTCCTATGCCGGGTGTTTTAATTTTAGGGACTATTGAGCGATTAAAAGAATTCAGCATTCCTGAAGAAAAAGAGCTCAGTCTACGTCGCGTCGTCTGCTACGAGTACGATACGAGTCATCGTCGAGTGCTAGGCCTAGTGCTATATAAATATATAATAAATACTGAGCCATAATAACATAGATATAATAGCTTATAAGAACAGCAATATATATCATCAGAAATTTTATTTTGTAAGAGTATATATTTGGTGAAAGATGTTTTCATATTTGATTGGTTAGGCTTTATTCCAATGTAGAGTACTGAGTGGGTCTACTGTAGGCCTAGAACTAGAAGTTCAAGTAGATCTATTATTAGACCTCTCGCTCTAACTTGTCTAGGTTAAATCAAATCAAATCAATGTGCTATTAATGTAATGTAGAGAGAGACTTCAGAGACTAGAGAGAAATTTGGTTTAACGTCCACTCGACACAAACTAGGTAATTTCGGGACTAACATGGTTCAGTTTTATTTCAATAATTCACTTGATTGACGGGTCTTTTTCAGCAGTAAGAGGAAACTGGGGGACCCGGAGAAAACCCACGAGGTTGGACAGGCGACCCTACTCCTTGTCTCGTACAAGCGGGGAATCGAAACCACGCCACTTGACTCCATGACATGTCATAGGTCTAATACACGGTAATTTAAATTGTAGGACCTTTTTTTTTTAGTAGTTTCGCGTACGCGAGGCAAGAAGTAGTTCCGCTTCGATGTAAACCAAATCATTCCTTGCATTCTTTATCGCATGCTATCTATTATTTTCGTAATTTTAGAATTACATGTAGATGTGATTTTTAAAGGATCAAATTTTAAATTTATATTTTTTGTAAAAACAAATAAAGTCTACAAACACAATAATAGGCCTACAGTCTACCGAATAAAATAAATTTAGATTCATATGTTGTCATTAAAGGCAATTGAAAATGAATCATGTGCGAGGGAACTAACTATATTTTCTGTTGTATTCTGGCAGAAGGATAATGGACAAGCCAAATTTTTTTGTGTATCGAAAAATGTGATTCTATGTAGGCCTACTATTACTTGTGGTAAACAATTTAAGTGTTAAGTTTATGGTATGTTATATTTATATACCTTTCCAAATTTCATAACAAAAATAGTATTTTGCTCAATTTTCAGTTGCAATAAGCTTTTAATAAAACAGTAAGCCTAATACTGTTATGCTATTCAAAATCACATTTCCCCTTTTACTGGTAGGCCTTAATCCGACCAATAAAATATTTACTGAAGCACTATCACTAATTTTAAACCATTCAGTAATTCAAAATAATTTTAATTTACTCTGTGATTATCTAGTAATAGTATGCTGTATGGTTAATTTCAGTTTGTATGGCAGATAATTCCGTAATAGTACACAGTATAAATTAAATTTTCTATTTGTAAATAATCAGTTGACAAAAAAATCACAAAAATAAAAGTAACTCTGAACACAGATCAGACCTAATGGCATGGATGTCTAGAGCAAACTTCAGAATTATAATAATTTAATATTATGCAAAATATTCATTCTCAAGTTGTTTTTGGTTTATACTTGTTTGTAAAAAGAGAAACCAATCAACTCAAATAATGTTTACTGAAAAATGTTATAGGCCTATTTAAAATAGAATTTTAATATCTTTAATTATCTTATTTTTTAAAAGCCTACATTAATTAATAGAACAAAAATCATAAAAGCACACGGTGAGTCAACGTTGGAGCCAAAGGTATTTTATCTTGGAAAACAACCAACGGCTCAAATCTGTTTATTGGAAAACGTTATATGCCTATTTGAAATTCAATTTAAATATTCTTAAATTATTATTTTATATTTTAATGAAAGCTTACTTTATTTACATAACATAAATAAGAGAAATTCTAGAAGACAAATGAATTTTTCTTTGGGAGAAAAAATAAATCATGTTGATGTTGAGTAAAATAGCCCTTATCCAAAAAAGGGCGTGACACTTTGACATTTTCAAATGGCTCATTTTAAGGTGTATGGAAATTACATTTCAAATCTAGGAATCTTAGTATTTGGTGGAATAGTTTCAAAGTAAATAAAACCTCTTAGAAATCGACAATAATTTACGGCCTTAAATAAATAATTTACGGCCGTCTCTCGTCTCACTGGTCTCAGTCTCACTTCATTCATTCCGGGCCGTACCATGCTTTATGCATGTTTTAAAAATATGAATCATGTTTTATAAATTCCCGAAACACACACACAACTAACATATTATGATTGTTTATGGGATAATTCTCAGTAGTTTTGTTACCGAAAATACTATAAAACTACGAAATTAAAGAGATTTAGTTCATCGATATAGATATCGTAAGGTCGTTGAGCGAACTGTCAGTGTGTGTTTATTACAGACAATTCCCAAGATGCATTGCGCGTCGCTGTGTTTCTATGGGCCGTAATGCGAGTCGCCACTCTGTGTATTTTTACTCTGTGCATACATTATGCAAGAGCTAAATCTAAGTATTGCAAGTCTTTATTTAGGCTTTAGATGTCATAGAAATTATTAATTAGATCTTTATTTACACAACACGCACAAAATCAACTCTGTAGACCCACGGATGGCTTGGATTTAAACAGGATTACATTGATTGATTAAATTTTTAAATGGCGTCGTAAGCGGAGATTAACCGTTACGTTGACGCCATACTCCCGGAATTTTAGAACGAGGCTAAATGATAGAGTGTACGAAGCGAGGCCGCTGTTGAGCGAGGCCACATGTCAGTCAATTTCATTGAAAGTTCGATATATACGGCCTTGATATTATGTTTAGTTGTGGTTAAAATGAGAGTTTGGATGTCGGTATTATATGCCCTTTTGTCACTTGCGTTTACAGAAAAATTATGGAAATTGATAAACATGGCAGCTAACATCACCCCAGTTGAATTGCAACCCAATTGGATCACTGTTTCCTATTTGTCTGCTTCGGGTGTTACGTAGGCCTACCAGTTACAGTACAAGAGTACACGCAGGCTAACAAGAAGTCGGCTATGATTATGCCTCATTGATTTGGTCCATTCCTTTCAAACTTTCGCTTCTTATCTATATATTAAAAGTCTTATTTTTAATAGTAAAAATAAATGTGATACGAATTGAATTGCAACCCCGTCTCAAACCGAATAGGCTAACGGTACCACAGCCATTGAAATGAAATGAAATGAAATGGAGTTTAACGTCCTACTGTTCTGCTCCTAACCTGGGCTAATGAAGAAACGTTACTTGGGGATCATGTGGCTAAGTGGGTAAGACGCTGACTCGTTAGCCTGGAGGTCGGGTGTTCGATCCCTGCATTGGCCGAGAAAGTTCATTCAGATTTTCCGGCGTGGTTTCCCCTTGTCAGTGATGCAGGACGGAGGGCCTGACAAGGACAGCTGTCTAGTCCTTCGGATGATATATATTGGAATGCACGTAAAAGATCCCCTGGCAGTTGGAATTCCATATAAGAGTAGGCGATAGTGCCGCTGCCCGGGAAAAAATTCCCTCATAGCACGCTGTATGGCGTATGCCCGTCTTCATTAGCCCAGTATAGGAGCAGAACAGTAGGACGTTAAACCCCATTTCATTTCATTTCATGATAATCGAGATTATGTAGGTGGAGTTAACGCCTGCAAATCAAACGGGTCCTAAACAAATTGCAAAAGAAACCAATGTAGTGCGTTTAATGATAAATATGTCAGACAAAATCATACTCAAAATCGGCAAAGGCAAAATGGCATGATTAACAGAATTCAATTTGGCGTTCTTCAGGAATTATTGGAGAGCGATATCTCATACTGAGTGTCTTTCAGTGGTGGGAGGATAAATAATTTCTTTTTAAATTCCTCAAACACAGAGTGGTTATGCAAGCGAAATGTGCCGAAAAATCGAATTTGACAAACATCAATTAAAAAAATGTATTTGTCATTTGGTGGCGGGCATTTCTTTCAAAATGACTGCCAAATTTGGTAATATAATACTATTTTAAAAAAAAAAGAAACAACATTAATTTGGTAATAAAAGGGCAGCGATAATCTCAAAAATTTAATTTCTTGATGGTAGAAATTCAAAATGGCCGGCAAAATGAAATCCAAAATGAAATTCTAATTAATCGTCATTTTGTTCCGTTGGGTATGACTTGTAATATGTGGTATATTAATCACGAATTGAATAGTTGCTCTTAAATGAATATATTATTGTTAACGCGCTTTAAATATCTAGATGCAATAGACTTGGTGCAGAAAATTCTAGATACATTGAAATGTTGGCAATAAAGATAATATCATAGTTAATAGTTACACATTGTTAACCAACCACCTATAGATGTTTTAATGACAATAAATCATATACTTTATTCAGCTCGAAGCAAGACTTAAAATGAAGAGATGTAGTTCGTTTAATTTGAATGTAGATATTTTATATCT